ACCTCCCCTGGCACAACTTGAGGCCGTTTCCTCTTGTCCTATCGCTGTTTCCCGGGGAGAAGAGGCCGAGCCCCACCTGGCTACCCCCTCCTTTCAGGTGGTTGTAGAGAGCGATCAGGTCTCCCCTCAGCCTCCTCTTCTCCAGACCAAACCCCCCAGCTCCCTCAGCCGCTCCCCATCAGACTTGTGCTCCAGACCCTTCCCCACCTTCGTTGCCCTTCTCCGGACTCAGCAGCTTTGGGACAAATCAGCCTCGCGGCTCGGAGCGGGCAGCAGAGGAGCTGGCCATGCCGACAGCCCCAGGGAGCCGCTGGCAGCAGCCAGACCGTTAGCTGGAAAGTATTTAATTAACTGAAAACGTGGGAATTGTGAAGGACGTGAGTGGAAACGCAGGAAACAAGGCTGGAAGGGAGCGCGGAGCTTTGGGACAGCTTTAGCACTGTCCCTTCTCCAGGCTCCTCTCTGCTTCCGAAACTGCAACGCCCTAGAAAATGAATTTATTCCTATTTCTGAACAGCCGGCGGGTGCAGCGAGGGCTGTAAAATTTACTCCAGTGGCAAAAATAAGAGAAGTGTGTGTGCTCTCAGGAACAGGCTAAAAATAGCTTTCCCCGAAGACAATACCCTCCGACAGCCCCATCCTGGACCTGCAGACAACTTTCGTGGTAGCGGTGATGCAATCAGGACCGTCGTTTGGGGCAGAAAACATGGTTATCTGGGGTGTTTGAGAGCAAGAAGAATATTTATTGCTTTTAATTCGGTTGACGGATAATCCAGGAGGTGCCGCAGCCCCGTGCGCCGGCCGTGCTGGTGCATCCCGCAACGCTCACACCGGGCATCGTGTCCTCTCCTGGCACAACCGGTCAATTGTAAATATTTTTCAGTTAAAACATGAACAAGTTTTCTTTATTTCTGTGATTTTGGTGTTTCTCATTAATTCTCCAGTCTTGGGCAGAGACTTCTGCAATTTCTCTTTTCTCCACTTTTTTTGGCTTACGGTTTTTAAACCGTTAGCAGAAACCGAACGCTGCTCTGGCCCTTTTACTGATCATTTTCTAAGAAAAATAGTCAAGTTTTCCCGGTGTGGATTCTCCGGTGTCTAGTTGTGGTTGTGCAATCCCCCTGCAGCCCCGTGAAGCTGGAGGAGGACATCTCCGCTACGTGGGATGACAGCACACGGCAGCATCTCCATCCCTGGGACTCATCCTGGCCACGTGCCCGGCATCTCTGTGTTTTGCTTCCCGACATACTGGGATGAGCTCACCCTCGCCGGCATCATTTGAGATTGCTGGCGGACAAAGCCAAAAAAAAAAACAAAGCAAAAACACGCGCTTAATTCATTCAAATACAAAAACCCCCGAATATTTTGCCTGTATTTCAACCAGAAAATTTAATATCAGCGAGATGCAGGGAATTCAGATGAAAATAAGGCAGTCGGAGGTATTTTCCCTGGTACCCGGCGCCACGGCTCGTTTGGGAGGTTGGCTAACGATGCCACGAGTCTTCAAGCACTAAGGCTGACACATCAATGGGAAAACTCAACCAGCAAAGCTCAGAGGGCGCGGAGAAAAGCGGAGAGATGTTTTTTGGCCACCCTGGGAGAGTCTTGTGAGCTTTTCCTTGAATCAAACCGCAAAACAGAAAACAGATGATGGTTTTTTTCTGCATGCAAATCCCTGGTGGTGCCCAGATTCAGGGTTTCATAAATCTGCTTCAATAAAAAAACAAATAAGAGAGGGAGAGGCTTGTAGTTACCGCAGATCTCCTTGCTTGGAAGCACGAGCTTTACAGCCTTGGCTCTCCCCATCCATCCGCATTTTACACCATTTCCAATTCACTACCAAAGTGTAAAAGCAAGCCTAAATCTTGGCCACACATCTCCAGGGCTGTAGCAGCGCTGGAAACCTGAATCCCCAAAGATTTCCTCCCCTTTTCCCCCTCGGCATGTGTTTCATCTCATCAAACAAACCGAAATCCGTGCAGCGACGGCGCAAGACGCCGGGATTGCAATCCTGGAGAGCAGAGACGCTGGGGTCTTGTCATCAAAGGACTTGCGTATTTTTGGGAAGAGGAGCTTATTTTACAGTCAAATCAACTGGAAAAGAAGTGTTTCACCGGGATTGGGATGAGGAGATGAGGTTTAAAAGCTGAAAGGCATAAGCAGGACTCGCAGGTTCCTGTTTTTCCCGGATATTTTTGATGCTTCCAGCTGGATTTTGCTCTGCGCTCCCTTCACAGATGCGGCTGCGGGTTGTCTTGGCACTGGAAGGGCTTTTCATTCATTTTATGGCACGGCTTCAGGTCTGGTGATGTGCAAGGGCATTGCAAATCGGCCTGTGGCATTTCCTCGAAACACTCCCAGAAATTAAGCTGCCACCCTGAGAGAAGGCTGAGAACCGACATGCTCAGCACATGTGCAGCTGCCCCATCACTCATGCCCTCCGGGCACGGCGGTTGCAGTTCTTCGGGGTATCCTGAAAGAAGGGGACAGGGCACAGACCCACCTGAGCACCAAAATGGAGCAGATCCTCCCCCCCCCCGGGATGTTCTGGGGATACATAACAGATTGGGACAGAGGATTTTTATCTCCGGGTGTTTTGGGTGCCTGGGGGAGCATGTCGTGCTCCTGTCCCATGCGCCACTGTGCTCCCGTCCCCATCGGGCTCCCAGCCCTATCGTGATCCCATCACACTCCCGTCCCCCTGTCCCCATCCCTGGCGCATTCCCATCCCTGTTGTGCCCCCGTCCTGATGGCCATTGCACTCCCGTCACCATCCCACTCCCGATCCCAGCCCAGCTGTGCATCCCTGCATACCAAATGTGCGTCATCCCGCCTGGGTACCCATCCCAGCCCAGCCGGGCATTGCTCCAGTCTGGCCGTGCATCACATCCTGGCCATGGATTGCTTCATCCCAGCCGTGCATCTCTCCATCCTGGCCGTGCATGACATCCCGGCCATGCATTGCTCTATCCCAGCTCTGCATTGCTCAATCCCATCCGTGCATGACATCCCGGCCGTGCATCGCTCCATCCTGGCTGTCCATCACATCCCGGCCACACACTGCTCCATCCCAGCTGTGCACTGTATATTGCTTTATCCCCACTGTGCATCTCTCCATCCCGGCACCGGAGTATCACCTCTCTGCAGCGGCTCGCGCCGGGAGACAGGAGCTGGCAGCAGCCGAGGTCACAGGTGAGCCATTCCCACGCTACGGCAGGGGTCCACGTGCGGGCACGGTCTCAGGACAACCAAGAAACTTTCTCCATTGCACCAGGAAAAGAAGTGAAATTGTAACACCCTCTCGCAAAACCAACCTCATATCAAGGCCAAAGGGGAAGCACGAGCCCTTCTGGGGACAAAAAAAGCCACAACTCATAGCCCATCACCGCCCTATTGCCCGGCCACGTGATGCTCAGCTTTCAGCCGCCTCCAGGGCCGTGGGCTCCAGCCTGCGGTGGGGAAAAAGAACTGGGAAGTGGCTGGAGGACTCACGCAGCGCCCAGAATTTTTCATGTCCAGCTGCAAAATGAGCGGAGACAAAAGGAGGTGGTAAGCGCAGCCAAAACGCGGCAGCTGGCGGCAGGACGCAGCCGGGGCTGCTGGCCAAGGATGGTCCTTGCAGGGGATGAAATCCTGCGAAAAGTCTTCAGCGACCAGAGGAGCTGTACAAGTGACTGCAAACGTGCTGGAAATGGAGCTTTTCCCTTCTCCATCCCCCGTGCACGAGCACAGCCATCTCACCATCGTCTTTTTGCAGGCTGGATGAGGCTCTCCCAGCCCCAGGGCAGCACCGATTCCCCATATCCACCCCCAGGCAGAATTTGACCCCCTTGGGTGCCATTCAGCACAGCGAGCCAGGACCAGAGGGTGCTTAATCTCCATTTTGTGATCTCCATTTCTTGTTTGTTTGGTTTTTTTTACCCTCGCCTCCAGTACCAGTGCGATGCAGCCGCCCCAAGGACGTGGCCAACGCACGCATCGATGTGGGCAACAACACGCTGCTCAACACCCGCCTGCGTTACACCTGCAACCCGGGCTACAAGCGCAAAGCCGGTACCTCCAGCCTCATCCAGTGCATCCTCCGTGACGGCTCCACCGAGCCCGACTGGACCCACACCACGCTGCAATGCATCCGTAAGCCCTCGCTCGGCAGCCGGGACGCAATGGGGATCGGGGAGGGGGGACACCTCCATCCCTGGTGTGGTGGAGGAGGATGCGGGGTGGCGTGGGCGCTGCCGTTGACGGTGTCTCTGCATTGTGTCTTCCCGAAGGGGACCCGGCTCTGCGTTCGCAAACCCCCAGCCCCGAGCTCCCGACTGCGCTGCACGCCGAGAGGACGACCCAGAGGGGTGAGAAAGGGGCAAACGCAGCCCACGGGCTTTGGTTTAGGGCCACCGTGACCATGGCCGTGGCAAAACCACAACCACCGTGGCACGGAAAGCAAAATATTTCAATGGCGTGATCAAATTAATTCAATCGCGTGAAATTACGCCATTTTATAGCTGCTGGGTGGGCTGTATTGCCCTCGCCGCAACCTGCCTGAAGCAGGCACGAGGCTGAGCACTGAAATCATGGCGCTGTCTGGAACGCGCCTTTTAATTTTTGAAATTCAAAGGTTTTACACCGTTTTCCCAGCAGGAACCACCAACACCAGCCCGACCTCCACCCCCTCTCCAGCAGCAACACCTGGGCTACCAGGAGCTGCCAGCCAGTCACCCGTGCCACCAGCACCTGATGGGTCATCACCAGAGACATCCACGCCACCAGAGATGCCCCCACCAGTGGAGACATCCACACCAGGATTGGGGACAGCCCCAGGGCCATGTCTGGGGACAACCCTGCTGCCCACCGCCCCCACGGATCATGCTGCAGGTCAGGCCTCCTCCCCAGGGAAGATAACCTGCCAACGGGCTAGTTTCAACCAGCAAAGGCTCTTTTACTTTTTCAACGCATTTTTTCCTTCTCTCCAAACTCCTTTTTAGTGAGGGTCCCCCCACCATCCCTGCCTTTCCTAGCTTTGCAGCTAAAAATTTCCATTTCTCTTTTCTTTTCCAGTTTCCATCCAGACCCTGGCCCCTTCCATTGGTAAGCCAAGCAAAAAAAAAAACTTATTTTGGCAAGCTGGGGCTTATTTTCTTTATTTTTTAGTTTAAAAGCCCTCCTGGGGGCTGTGGGAGGTTTATGCTGTGGTTGAGGGCAATGCCTCCAAGGGGGGAAGGATGCAGCACCCAACTTTCTTCCCGGAGCGGGAAGGGCACCTTGCGAATGTGCACAAAGCGTTTTTGGCTCTTTGCGGAGTTGTTTTGTTTGAGCCCAGCTGCGCCCTCGGCCGTGCATTGGAAGATGCTCATCGGCTGCCACGTTTCTCCCCCAGGGCTCCCGGTGCTGGTAATCACCAGCGTTGTGGTCTGCTGCTGCTGGAGGATGAAAAAGTGAGTGTGCCGAGCCCCGTGAGGTCTTTCCACCCTGGTGATGAGTTGTCCTCGGCCTCCGTGCTTTCCTGAAAGCTGGAGAAAGGCCTTGGCGTGCCGGTGACGCTCCTCTCCCCTCTGCAGGCGCGCAGGACAGAGCTACGTGGTGGGGGCCATCCCCATGGTGGCTCTTGCCTCTGAGAATGAGGAGATGTTGCCATCCAGCATCTTCCCCATGGGCTGAGCACCCACTGCTGGGCAACTTGGTGCACCCACCAGCCTGGGGGATGCTCAGGGCTCGGATGGAAAGCCGGACGCTTCCCCAAGCAGCAGTAGCGTGTGGCAGAGCCCGTCCTGGTCCTCAGCTGCGCTCTGTGCAGAGCATCCTCGCCCCAGGCACACGCTTTTCTCTTCCCAGCCTGAACAAGTGACTCCCATGGATGACATCGCTCCAGCGCCCAAAGGTGCATGGGCGTCCCATTGTGCGGCTGAATGGTGGGTGGCTGAGCCCCAAAAGCACTCCGAATGGCGCGGAGGCGGTGGGCGTCCTGTGTTGGGAGCCAGAATTCGGAGGAGGTGGTCCTGCAGGTGCTGGTGGTCGGCAGGGTGCGGGCTGGGGGCTGCCTGCCCCAGCGGAGGGTGTTTGAGGTGCAGGGGATGGGGTTTGGGTGCTGGGGGTGAAGCTAGGCTGCCCTGCCCCAAGCAGTGCCCATTCCCTAGCCAAAGTTAGGCCAGCTGGACACCAGCCCTGTCCCGCTTTGCCCCCAAATTGACCCAAAATGCAGAAAGCAGCGCTGCTTGCAGCAGACACAGAGAGGGTCCCGGCCAAGCATCCCGCCCCCGCGTCCTCACCTCCTTTCTGCTCTCTTTCAGCCATTCGCCAGTGAGCCCAGAGCTGCAGCGAAGGGTGACGGTGCCGTCCCTCCACGGTCACAGGGCTCAGCCCTTGTACGCAGCTCAGGGATTCTTCAGGTGCACATTCGGTGCCGATCCCAGGTGCCTGCTGACTCCAGCTGCTCACAGGGAACCACAAGCAGGAGCGATTTCACTGTAGATGCTATCAAAGACTGAAGGCAATAACATGACCTAGAAAATATTTTCCTTTGCATGTTTTCCCTTTGTCCATCATCAGTTGTTATCCACTCGTTTCCCCCTTGCTACAGAACAGGCACCTTTATACTGATGCCATTTTATGTATACACGTGTATATATTGTATATAAAATAATGCACATACAGCAGTTGATTTTTTGTCTGGTCGGACACCTCAGCAGCTGGCGGAGAGGACAGCGGGGAGCTGGGTTGGGGTGAAATCCATCTCTGCAGCAGCGAGGGCTCACCGGCCACCAGTATTGCTGTCCCTGAGGCAAAGGATGACGGCGAGGTGGCAGCTGCCATTTCTCAGCTGGACAGCAAAGGTTTTTTAGCAGTCAGCTGGAAAGCAGCAGGTATCCAACAACTTAACTTCCACGTCCTTTCCTCGCTGCTGTGTCTCATTCTCCTGTTTGTGCCACTGATCTGGACCCTCGGAGCTGGAGGACGCAGCACTTTGGATGTGTGACAGACCAAACCCTCTGCAACGGCACTGCCTCTTCCCAGCGTACCATGGGATGGTCAGAGAACACTTGAGGCTGGAAGGGATCACTGGAGGTGCCTGGTCCAACGTCCGTGCCGAGCTTTGCGGTTACATCCAACAGCCAAGTCTTGGGTGAACTGCTGCCCACGCTTTGGTGAGGGGAACAGGGAAAGTCTTTCTGGAATCCGTGCTTCGAAAATGAAAGCAGAGCCAACAAAGTGGCTCCCCGTTCAATTAATAACCACGGAAACTAACAGGATGCAGAAGCTTCCTCCAGTAGGCACGGCTCATGGCTCTGGGCCCATGCCCAAGAGCAGATCTCTTCCGAAATCAGTTTCGGTTTTGATCTCCGCTTGACACAGGTTCTGGTACAACGAGCCAGAGTCTTCAGACAGAGCGCGTAAGGCGCCATCTGATTTAACAAAAGCACCATGCTGCTTGCCCCACTGCTACTGTGATGGCTTGTAAATAAATGCAACCCAAGACAACTTCTTAACAAAAGGCAAAAGAAAAAGAGAAAGCATTAAGGCTTTTTCTTTTGTTACAAATTTAATTTCAAGATGAAAAACACTCTCCAGTTTGTCTCTGAGTTAGAATGAAACCAAATCAAAGCAGTTCTTCAGACGCTGCCTCTCTTCTTCCCTTACGGTTTGCTGCAGGGAGAAGGGAAACAGAGTCTGGGGAAACCCCTTGGCTGCAAGTAAGGAAAATTAATTCAGCTGGGACAGATTAACAACTTCATCCCAGAGCTGAGAGTGAAAAGCCCATTTTCTGGGAATAAAGTGTTTCTTTGGGTACTTTTCAGCGTCTCATTTCCTCTTCTTCCAGTGGATCAGAGGGATTTCACTGAGGCATGACATGACGGAATAGGCAGAGATATCCTGGCAGTTTGGTTACTGGAGGTGTTTTTCTGGTGACAGAGGTAATGGAGGAGTAATGCTAAAAAAAAAAAAAGCTGTCCTGTCCGATACAGTTTATATAATGCGTATTCTTCTGTGCAGCAATGCAGTGCAGGCCATGCTGACCAGCTCTTGGAGAGCAAGGAGAAAAGGTCTCACTCCTCCTTGCAGAGCCTGGAGGGTTCCTCTCGGAGTTGGTCCAAAATCCTGCTCCAATATCCACCTGATTTGGAGCTGGGATGTGACAACAGGCCTTGTCCCACACCCAGGATGGCTCCGGGCGGCAGCCAGGGCTCTGGGGAGACGGAGGGCTTTGTTAGAGCTGGATGGGCTGTTCCTGAAGCTCTGGGAAAAAGGTGAGCGGTGTCAGAGAGCCAAAGCGCTGCCGCGTGCAAGCGTGGCACAGGTAGCCACCTGCATCGCTGCTGCCATCGCTCTGCAGGAGAAAAAGAAGAGATTTCAGAGAAGAGGAAGGCTGGAGGAACACAATCTCTGCTTCCAGCCTTGGACGCAACCTCCTCAAACCCAGGGAAGAGAACAACGATGTGCCCAAAGCATCTCCTGCCACCTCCCTTGCAAGGAAATCCCTTAGGGGACAGCTTGTTTAACAGCTGCAACACGTCCCTGTGCAGGTCTTTGCTGGTGAAGGACGAGGCTTTGCCCGTCTTGGTGTTTAGGGGCCCTGCTGATGGCTCGGAGCCATCTACTCTCTCTTGTGGACATGGAGCTCCACCAGATTTACTGCGTGCTTGCAGATCCCAGCACTAGGGAAACTTGGTCTCCGCTGTACCTTCTGGGCAAGGATGAAGCCCAGAGGCAGGAGGTGGGGACTGAGGCCAAAACTGGACCCAAAAATCAGATTGTCACTTCCAGCTGGCTGGCAGGGGCAAGGGGTGCTCTGCTCACCTCAGACGGACGTTCAGTGGCCTCGGTAGAGGCTCTAAGGGTCAGATACAGGATCTGACACCACAAAACCCCCAAACCAGCCCCACCTAAGACCACAATTAGTCTCAGAAGAGAGGTCAAGGCTTGGGTGCATCTGTGGGAAGTGCGACACTGCCCTAAATCACGTGGTTGGGAAGTCACCCCCAGTTATGAGCTGGGGTCATGAGTAGAAGCGAAGGGCTGGGGAGCTGTGGGCATGAGATCCAGCTCCGAGATGTTCCCTGCTCACTTCTCCACTGAAGCTTAGCACCGAGGTTGTCCCTCCCCGGTGCGATAGCTCAGAGCAGTAGCAGAGCAGAGCCACCCTGTCAGCAACCAGAGCGGCTCGTGAAGGCTCCCAATTCAGAAACACGATCTCAAAAGCCCAGGGAAGGGACGTACGTGAGTCAAAGGGAGCTTCTTCACGACTAGCCTGGAGCTGGGCTGCAGTGTTTCCGTACACGATGGCACAGAACAAGCGACGGCAGCTCCGTCCTTCGCAGCCTCACTCATCAGCTCCACCCGAAGGAAACGCTCCTAAGAAATGAGAAAAAAAGGGAACAACAATAGTCAGAGGGAGCTCAGATACTGGAACTGGTTGTTTCTTTTTTTTTTTTTTTTTTTTTTTAACCACCCGGGAAGTGACTTGCAACATCATTTTTTAAAAAAAACAAAAAACAACCAAAAATACCCAACCCCCTGATGACAAAAATGAAGCAGAAGCCAGCAGCAGCTCGCAGGGAAGGAAGTGAAGTAAGAGCTGGCACCCACTGCAGACAGAGAAAAGGGAACCTACGCGCTCGCAATGAGATAAGAAGTCAGGATCTGTGGAAGACAACACCCAAATGCAAGGGCTGTGGAACAAAAAAGCCGCAACCTTGTGTCTTGCTACTGAAATCACGGTACAGAGCAGCGTGAACCGAGGAAAAAATAGGACCTCAGCTGTTCTGGTCTATGCCAGCACAAGCCTGGGCATAGTCCATGCTCAGCATGAACCTTAGGATTAGGGTGAATCTTACAATAATCCTCTTTCACGCTCCTCTACTGCATGCACCCCCTCCAAACATAATAATCAGAGATGTGCAGATTTTGTGGGTAGTGGGTCATGACCCTCTTGGCACTTTTTTAAATTGGCAGCTGCCCATCCTGCCTGAGATGTCATCACTTGCAGAGCTGCCTCGAGACTCCAAATCCTAACGAGACAGCTGCGCGCCTGGGAGTTTGCCCTCCCCGGCCATCTGCTCTGCCTCTGGAGCGCTCGCCAATTTTTTTTGCTGCTGCAGTTCACAGGCAGGGCTGCTCAGCCAGATCACACGCGACGACGGCTTGCTTTGGTGCAGCGTGCCATGAAGTGCAGGTATCAGAGCCCTACATTGCCCCGCTCGCGGATTTGCTTACCTTGGAAAGATTTCACTTACCCCAGCCAATGCTAAAAGGTGTTCCAGGGACTTTGACATCAGCAAATACTTCTTTGCACGTGTCACTGCTACATAGAGCAGGTTCCATTCATCCTCAGGATACATGCCTAGGTTGGAGGAAAGATCATCAATAGCTTTAGAGAACAAGAATGAACAGCTCTGCCATTCTTCTAATGTTTCAGTTAGTATTTCTGGAAGGACACTCGATGCTTCTCTGGGAAAGGGTGAATTTGCAGAGCAGCACAGCTGTGCAGCACCCTCTGGCATTTGCTGTGCAGTTCCTGACACCACCGATGGCTCCTGCCTCGTTCCATGTTCCTCCCTCCAGGCAAAGGCAGGACTCTGCACGCTGGGAGAAGCAGCTCACTGCTATGTGCTTTCCCATCTCCCGGGCACAGACTTGGCATGTGGAGGAGTTTCTCAGTCTCTAGATTCACTCTCTGCTCCCTGGGAAAAGATCAGCTCTTCCAAAGCATGAACTGTGGCACCTAAGCAAAGCAGTGTCTTTCCCAAGTATGGAGTTGGTCCTTCTCTGTTGCTAGATGGCTACAAGCTCGACTGCAGGAATATTCCCCTGCCCCTATCTCGCTGTGAAGGAAACTACAAGATCAATAATCACGAGGACAGCCAGCGGCACTTGACAACGCCGAGAAGCACGGGGCTGCAGGACAAGCGCCGGCAGCACGCTTTGCTTTCTCACTTTCAGATCAGGATGGGTACCACACACAGCTGTTCCCTTACCGATACTGAAGTTAATTCGTCTCTGGGAATCACTACAGAGACACGGTACTTGCACGAAGTCATCTGCAACCAGCACCGTATCAAACTCCAGGCCTTTGGCTTGATGGACAGTACCTATTAAGTAATCTGTAACCAGCACACGTGGGGAACAAGAAGGAAAAAAGATCAGTCATCCCAGCAATAGTGGCATTTTTAATTTCACGAGGCGCCGAGTCAAATGAAATTATTTCATTCTGCATTCATTTCACTTCTCCCTAAATATAAATCAGAAGCAAAGCTCCTCTATTTGGAATCCAGACTGCCGATGACAACTTCCTTGCCAAGGGAAATGCCTGGTTGTCAGCAGCCTGAGCCCCAGCCCCAACTCCCAAACAGGAATGCTCTTTATTTGATGAATTTTTTACTTGATTGTTTTGTCCCCTCCTCAAATTTTAGTCAGCAAGTTGCAGGGCAACTCCAAAAGGAATCCCAAAAAGCAGGATAAAGTCCTAGGGCTTTCCAACTGTAGGAAATGCTGCGTCCAAAGATTTATTTTCCTCTAGCAAAGTCACATTAAGCAATGCTGTGCTGGCAGATTCATTGCCCTGAACTCCATCTGGAGTCCCAGATGTACCCCAAAAGCTGCTGTTCAACTTCCTTTCTCCCTAAAAGACCAACTTGATCCAAACTTAGTCTTTTTGCAGAACGAGGTGGATTCAGCACTGAAGCTGGATAGAAAAAAAGATGTGAATTTGCTCCTTGATCAAAGGCACAGCTCGGCTTTACCTGCCATGCCATTTTGTGACACGTGGCTGCTCTCAATCTTCTGCACCAGCTCAGGGATCCGCTCTTTGTATTTCTCCACTATTGCAATCTTTGTTTCCAGGTCTTTGTCATCGATGGCCTCTGCATATTCCCTTAAACCGAGGAAGCCCCGAGTTTCTTCCCATTTTTTGATGAAGGAGTCATTTATAACAAGTTTTGCTGAAAAGAAAGAAGCAGATGACAAGAGTTTATTTGACAGACACATATAATGGCATTTTTTAATTCTAATCAAATTTCAGAGTAAGTATTAGGGAAGGCAAGCATGGGGCTGGACTGCTGGTGTGGGATGCAGGGGCTTGGGATGTACTCCTGGCTCTCTGATGGGTGCTTTTCGCTCAGAATTTTCTCTTTACTGATGCAAAACATCATCAAAGCTCGATGCTCTCCTCAGAGCAGGCAGTTTCTCAAAACGGCATCACTTTGAGATACAGCACTGGTGTACTGTGAAGGGTGCTATGAAGTTTCAAGAGCTCAGGAAAGAGCAGCTGGTGAACATTCAACTCAGCTCACTCATTTCTAGAGCACGCATCCTAGAAAGTTTGCACAACCTTTGTCCCCAGAGGGATTTTGAAATTCAAGGACCAACACACTGAAGAGTCTGAGACGACTCTGACGTGACTTCAGAGCTGCCCTGGCTGGAGCAGGGACTTAGGGCCCTTCCAACCTGCATTATTCTCTCTTTTTACCCAGATGGCAAGGAGTTTTCCTAGGAGCTCACCTTCCAAAGAACAGCACCCATATAATCAATCACTCACGGCAATTGAAGAAGTCCTTTGTTTGTCCCTGTGCCCCACATATAATACTACTTGCCTACCGCTGCCAAGGCAGAGGGAGATTTTAAATGATTTATTCTCTAAATGATATCCGCCAGTGAAAAGAAAGCATGTGATAGAAGATTCAACATACCAGGTTTAAAACCAAAACAAAACAGGAAAAGCCTAAGACAAATGAAAAATAAAGTCTAATCAGAAAACATGGGGAAAAACTCCCAAGCTATGAGCTTACTGGGCTCTTGTACGTAAGACGAGGCATCGTAGTGGAAAGCTGGGGAGGGCTGCATGACACAGGTCTCAATTTTGGCATTTCTGGTATTAACACCATCCACAAGCAGCCAAAATAGCACAGCCCATGACACTACCATTGAGAAGTCAGTTTTCAACAGATAACTTCATGAGGAAATTTAAAACAAAACACCAAGAAGCGTGTTGCTTTCTATCACCCCAGGAACAACTTAAAAATCCGTGCTGCTGTAGGGAGGGTGTACAGAGAGAAGGGTGAGGATGCACTCACCTTTTTTCCGTTCATCTGTGGGTTGACTGAGCTTCCAAATATCATAAATTCTGCTCAGGCCAAAACGGTCGAGTCCCTAAAACAAACAACAATTTATCTTAATATATAGGAGTAAAGGTGCTGTCTAGAGTTTCCAGATAAGCTAGCAGGGCCCAGTGGTTATTGGTGTTAAGAAGAAGGGAATAAGGGGAAGATGGGAGTGAAGTGCTGAAGATGGGAGAGCTGGTTTCCCGAAATCGCTGGAGTCATAGCACAATCAAAGGCAGCTGGAAAGGGAACGATCCAGCCCGCTCTGCGGATGGACAGATGGACAGCAAGAAGAGAACAGGACACTGTCTGATTGGCATTATAACAGAGCTAGGCTTTTCAAAGAAAAAAATAATTTCTATAATGTTTTCCCTCTTGCTAACCACAAAAAAAAAAGGTTTGGTTTTTGGTCATTTTAGCTTTTAATAGCTGTATATTGCTTTGTTAAAAAGAACTTTTCAAGTCTGTTGTGCCATAAATGCTGCTGGCCTATTGACTCCACGCTGTTTCGTGGGAAAGCCAGCTCCAGGCACAACTGCACCCTCTCTCCTGAAGCAATGGGCCACCACAATAAAGATAAGCTTGCTAAACTGACTGTAAATATTTCAGTTTCAATGTAAACTGAAACAAAAGGCTTTGCTTTGGCAATTTTTACTTTCAGAAAGTATTTTTCCCCCCTTGTTTCCAAATTCAGTTTGTTGTGTTCCATCAAAAGAAGCATCAGTCCAAATTTAGACTGATTCCAAACTGCAAAAGCAGATGAGATTTTCAGTACTGGGCAGCCAGTTCAAACACTCATTGTATTGTAATATGCAGCTTTCCAGTGGAAAAAAAAGATTAAGAACTTAAAATACGAGCCTAAAATTCAAAAGACCAGATGGGTCCTCAAAAACGTTCAGCACTAGGACAACTGTTCATTGTCTTTGAGCTTCTACATTTCTGGGTGCAGAACAAGATCTCAAATCATAGGTATCAATGATTCAGAGTTTGAAGACAAATGATTCCTCGGAGGCTTTTGAAGTGTGGAGCCTTAATAAAACCTTCCTCTAATTCAAGCACGTGAATTTCTACAGATGCGCACACACGCACACTCTCCTTCTCCAGTTACATGGGTGCTTTTTTGCAAATAAAAATTCAGTGCAAACCTCAGAACTGTCGCTCCCTCAAGAAGTCAACATTCATCATTGCTGAAAATCCCCATTCCCCTCACCAAAGAGCCTGGTGCACCAATTTGCCCTGTCTTTCCCGGGTGTATTGAGACAGGGACCAGACCATCGCAGGACTGGAAATTAGTAATGAGCACAACACAGCCCTCCGTGGCATCTACAAGCCCAAAGGTCACCTTCAGATTCAACCACTGTCTTCATCTCTCAAGAGAGCTTGAAAAATGTTTATTCTCTCAGAGCACAGCCAACTGCCTTTCATTGTTTTTCACACTCAGCCTGCAATTACAGCTGATTTTTATTTCCCTAATGCAGGAACACGGTGCCACCGCCGGCAGCCAAAGGCAGTCAGCAGCGCTCCAGCTCATGCAAATACTTGCAGCGACTTGTTAGAGCTGCGCATCACTCTACCCCGGCCCCAGCCCCATCCAGCAGACTGGAGCTGCTGCCGTCTCCTCTAAGCCTGATGAAAAAAAAAAAGGGACAGATGAGCCTAAAAAGGGAACCTCCCCTGCCCAGATTTGAGAACAGCTGCTCCAAATAACTCTGCCCCAGCCACAACAGATTGCTGCTTTCTCCTTGAATATTAGTTTTAAACCTGGGTGCTACAGACAGCAGATCAGCCAAACCTATTTCAAGGCACACGTAGGTGTCGCTGCTACAAGTGCTAACAGGCTTGGGGACCCGAGGTTGGGATGTGAAAGACACATTGGCATTTTCCCCTTACCCCAATCACGTGTATTTTAATCGGTGTCTCTCTTCCAGTAAGTTTCACAGCATCCTCGAACACGTTAAAATTGCTTCGTGATAAGAGCGTTATCTTCCCTTCCGTGCTGCCTCTCACATCACCTGCATGAAGAAATTCCCAGTTAGCCAGGGCAGTTAGAAAGCAGGTATCTAAACTCAAAGATCTTCATAAATTAGGATTAATCCTGAGACGCTTTGTTTATTATGCGGTAGCTCTGTAACTCCCAGTCACTCAACAGAGCTGACTGGGCCGAGAGATGCACTGACACGACTTACCCTTTTGGTTTCCACCCACTAATGTCTTATTCCTGATCTTCTTGCAGACATCTAGAATGGTTGCTCCAACATAAGCTATTTCAGGACCAAATCTGAAACTCTACATGGAAAAAATGAAAGAAACAGCAGGAAAAGAAGAGGAACTTGTTAGAACCTACAAAAGTATTACTACATATGGAACTATACAATTCCCACCTACCTTCTGGACAGCCTTTCTCTTAGAAAAAACACCCAAATCCTCCCCAACTATTCCTAGAAATCCTGGTCACTCTTACACCCAAGGCAATAGGAACGGTGCTGTGAGATGGGATGATCATACAGGGCAAAGCATCCTTTCCAGCCTCTCCACCCCAACACCTGCCACTGCCAAAGCTCTTCCCCAGTAAGTTAATGCGACGTGGCACATCTGTCCTGCAGCTGGGCAGGGGTTAGAGGTGGTGGGAAAGGAACCACATCCCTCACTTGGCTGGGCTGCTGGAGAGGTGTGGGCCTGGAGCAGCAGAGCAGGGCTGGGGGTTGCTCCTTATGGTTTCCTAACCTGTAGGTCTGGGGCCAACAGTCAAAGCATTGGGAGATCAAAGCCCTAATCAAGTTTCACTACCACGATTAAAAAACACCAGTGTCTGGCTGCGTACAACACCTCCACCAGCAAAAAGAAGTGGAAAATCTCATGATCCAAAAAAAACCACCACAAGCAAGGTGATGCAAGGCTGGTCCCAAGACTTGTCCCAAGATGTGCCACTGCAAATAAAGGCAGTCCCCGTTCCTCTGTGCCTGTCTATGGCTCCTGCCTCTTGGCAAGGCTGGCACGGCGCAAGGAGAAAAGGCAGCTCAGGTGGATGGGTGTTTTGGTGGCCGTTCTGGCTCAGGACCTGGTTGTATTGCAGCTTGTATTGCTGGTTTAAGCTGATTCATTCTGCAAGGATTCCCAAAGGGGTAGCTCCTCCCTTATATTAGCTATGAGAATTATATAGCCATGTGGCTAATCAGGCCAAAAAACTAATCAGGATGAGCTTTCAGTTGGCACAGCAGCAGGTTAGGTAATCCAGCCTGGAGACATAAGCATCACCTGTGCTGAATGAAGGCGGGAGCTCTCTTCCAGGGCAAACTCAGATCAGCTGCTTGATAAAATTACACCCTTGGCAGACAAACAGGGCAGGAGATATCATGGACCAAGGGATGCTGCTGGGACAGAGGAGGCAATGCCAGAGTTTGTACAGAGCCAGAAAAAAAGATCATGTGTACAGCCAGAAAATATGTCCTCCTTAATCAATGTGGTTTTGTTTCAAGAAGTCACTGCCAGAACAAAATTCATCTCCATGCTCCTAACCAGTGCATGGTACTCACTGTCGTAACCGACTGGCAATATGAACAAAGAGGATCTCTGCCCCTGCCCACTCAGCTAGAGCTGAGAACTAACCCAGAAAAGAGGGGATCTCCTTAAAATAAGCCATATACGAAGGTCTCTACCCCAGTACCCATTTTTCAAGCCACATGGCTTTCCCAGTGATGGGATCACTCCACTAAGAGGCACAAAGGAATGCCTCTGCAGTGCAGAGTGGGAACAGCAAAGCATGCCACGCATCCAGGCAATGCAAACAGTCCACGGTGACAAACTCAAGAAGGCTGGCTGTTAGATGCCTTCTGAAAAAGGATGTGAAACATTTTCCACCGTATTAGGGATCCACCCAGGGAAGGACAGCAGCAGACCCTCATCTTACCTGGGTGAGGTAGTAGACATGGGTGTGACGCACTGAGTGGAGGGTATTGACAGCGCCTCGGAAGGTATAGATCTGCTGGTGAGGGTCTCCTACGAGGATTATGCCACATCTCTGTGACAGCACAATATCCACGATGGCTGCAGAAGAACATCGGAGCATTAAGGGCGAGCCCGCTCATAAACCAAGAGTGAACTGTACAGTACTTCTTGCCTGATGACTCGTGGCATTTAAGAAGAGGTCAACACAGCTGCAGGAGCCAACAGGTTGGGGACAAGCAAAGGGAAGGGCGCAGCTGACCGGGAGCTCTACAAACATCCTCCCACTATTCTAGTCTGATGGGATTTTTTCCTGGACTGGAGCTGCACAACATCTTGATCTCACACTTGTGAGCTCAACACAAATCCACCACCCATCCCCAGTGACCCGGACGCGCTGCATGTGTGCACAGTGACTCAACGCACACCACAGCAAGCCCTTCGGTCCCCTTCAACCAAGCCTGCACCAAGGCTCAGCGATGCTGGCAAAGCAACCGCTTGCATTGCGTGCAGCTGTGAAAGCACAGCCAAACACTCACAAGACCAGGTCTCCATAGAGTACAGGTGCGACATGGCGTGATGAAGCCTTCGAGCTGATTTAATATCCGCTGAAAAGACCAGGCCTTCTTCTGCTCTCCTTCTTTTGGTCCTCACCACACAGTTTGTTCCACTTAGATCCCCTTGCAGAACCAATTCAACTTGCTTTTCGACAAAGAGCTACTCCCCAAAGCCCCAGCAAAGAAAGCCAGCAGCTTTCTGCTACATGTCTCAGGAATCCCCAGGGTGGTGCATGGAACGGGGGCATGGGATGGAGCAGCTCTGCCATTCTGATAGCTGAACCATTTAATGTCTCGCCACTCCTGTAATAAACCACGTCCTTGACTATGCCACTGTTCTGTTCTTCTCTGTCAGCAGCAAAGCAATAGCAAAAGGGTGCGGACAGCATGTCTGGATGCCCAAAGCAACTGAAAGCAACCCCTCAAGCTGCTGCACATGTAATCCTGCAGCCTGCTTACAAACTGCCTTACTGAATTGGCAAGGATCTGGGACCAAGCAAAGGGTCAGTTATAATGTTATAGCCGACGAATAGATTTTTTTTTTAAATTGTGCTACTTCTCAAACACCCCTGAGCATACAAACATCCTCTCTGTAAAGCGCTTAGGAAGGTTGCAGCTTTGTCTCCTGTCACCACTCACCTGGAGTGCAGTCCTGTGCTTCATCAACAAAAATGGCATCATATCCTGAGAGCTGAGGCTTCCTGAGCTGCCAAAGTTTCAAATATCCTGAGAGAAAGAACAAGGCATGTCAGTGAGAGGGTAATTTTCTCATCATAAACCACCATGATCTTTAAAACAAGTCCCTTTAAAAAAAAATAGTGTTTCTGGCCCTACTTCTTGCTTGGAATTTGCATGACATTTGGAGGGGTTGCAAAAACCTTGATTGCTCCCAGATGTTGCTCTGTCTCCCTTGGCTGCATGAAGGATGAAAAAAACAACCCCAAACCAACTTGACCGGACTAGAGGAAGGCAGCTATACTGATGATCCCAAAACTCTTTATGAACAAAAATGATAAGGAAGAAAGATTTTCCCAGTACAAGCTACCTCTGGCACTACCTCCACACATACTAAGAAGCAAGAGGGAAGGACATGCCGGCAGCAGCAAGGAACAAACGCTCGCTGTCAGCAATCGTTCGCCCACTGTCTCACTCATTATTTCTATGATTTTGGTGCCAATCACACACATCTGAATAGTTCCACCATTTTTCTGAGGCCAAACAGGAAAAACAAATGAAATTCCAGCCTTCGGGCCTGTTTTGAGCTCCCTGGTGAGCTAGGCGCAGGAGAACAGCAATTTTATAGTTTTTGATGCTCATTCCTGATGCACGGCCAGAAGTAAGAAGTATGAATCCGTTTAGTTTTCTACTACAGCTCTTTATCTGAAGGCATTCGACATCTGCACTCTCTTACCATCACAAGTCATCTTGTATTTCTTCTCTACATCTCCATCCAGCTTCTTCATGTTGTGCCATATCTCTTTCGCCTCTTCCACATTGATCTAGAGGGAGAAAACAGAAGGGTCTGGATAGATCACTTTCAGCACAAAACCAGTCCAGGCACAGCAGATCTTAAAAGGCTTCTCTGAAGCCTTTCTCATCCTACTTCTCTTCTGTGTCACCACCAGTTCATTTCTTCTCCTCAACACAGTCTTTTCCAAATGCAGCCCCCTGAAAAGAACACTTCTTTGACTCAGCTATTAGACAGTTTAATACAATACCCCCTAATTTATGCACATTAACACGGACTTTGTGTTTATTTTGGCTTTTCCGGACTGCTTGAAAGGTGCTTAAAGGTATTTAATATTTTGAGGCTGTCAATTCATTCCCTGCCAGAAATAATGACTGCAAATTGGATTTCTGCTGGCTGGACTGGATCTGCGATCAATGAGGAGCAGGAAGGCTAATTTTCTCCACAGCTCCAGCCCACGTTGTTTGCAATGTCAGTGCTACCCTTTAAGTGTTGCTAAGATGTCCAAATTACTCTAAATGAGAATTTTGGGGTTTGGCTCTGCGTATCAAAATGACTACAAAAATGTACATTGTCTTTACATGCAATACCACAACGCCGTTCAGGCGCTGATACACATACATGCAATCTCTTCTCTCTTTTCCTTGCAGGGAAGAAACATCTGCCCTGAGCAGAGACAGTGATAATCTCCTCTCTAGAAACCAGTTGTGTGAACAGGGAGAACACACAGGCCCCAGTTTCTTTGGATTTGTCACCAGAAGGAAAAAAATGTTTTGACAGTCAGTTCTTACAGCTGAAGCACAAATACCCATGAACGATGGAAGATGTGGGACAACTACAGCCCCTTCTGAACCTTGTGGCCCAAGTCTTGCTTCATCTCAGATACTCACTTGCTTTTCTGCTCCACTGACAAGTGTTCTCACACCGTGAGTATTTTTGAACCAAACAGGAGTGTGCTCTTCACAGATCTCTTTATCTGAAGAGGCAAAAAAGTTTTCAAGGGTCTGCGAGACTGTCTTCGCTCTTACAAACAGAGCTTGATCCTTGCGATTCCGGATAAGGGAACTGATGGAGTAAACTGACATCTTGGAGAAGTTCAGCTTGCCTTTTTCTTTATAGCTGTGCCAAAAATGACAAAAAACCAAGAGACATGTTGAAACGCACATGAAAATCCTACCGGAGAAGCAAGCTCACTTTTGCTTCTGTTGCACACTAACACTTACAGAAGCTCTGTTTTATACACCCGCTTTGACCTAGTAATGGAATATCTTTAAAATCTGCACATATTTATCCTGGTGGAAGCACAAATTTGTTCATTTTATAGATTTTATAGATGAAAAGTTGAGCCAGAGAGATATTCCTATCATTCACCTCTGCAACTACAGATTGTTTTCAGAGCCAGGTAAGAGGATTGCCCCCTTCTTCCAGGTTGTGGCTCATTTTCCCTTCTGTCTGCAGTTTAGATGTGCCAACATAACTGGCCAGAAACTGTATCATTAGAACAACTCCAGTTAAGAAAATCCCTTCTCTGCTAAAGAAAAGCAGCATTTAGAGTGGTTGTACCACTGAAGTATAAACAGGAAAAAGCCATTCTCAGTGGCTTTCTATCTCCCTGTGAAGCGCTCCTCAGCTATAAACACAGGCAGGAGGAACAGCTCCCAAAACAGCAACGGGTCTTACGTCAGCACAATCTATGCCAGAGCAGGGCAATAAGTCTGTTTCCCCAGGCTCACAGGGATGCTAAAAATCACTGGCCCATCCAATCTGAAAGAATTCGGAAACCATAAATCACAGTCTGGCTTGAAGCAGGTGAAAGAAATAATCTCTCCCATTATTTTGCTTCCTCATATCCTGGAGGCTTACTTCAAAACCAGACTATCCTTTTCCTGCCATGTCTTTTCCCTGCTGCGCTGGTCTTCAACGAAGGAATCTAAAATCCCACTCACTGTTTGCCGACACTTCCAAATGCTAAGGAATGGAAAGTCTTGCACGTAACGTTTCTGGGGAAGACACTTCTCCCTCTCTCTGCAACAGCTTTGTTAAACGTCACGTAAAGGAAATTCAGATCTGCAAACTTCTCTGCATACTTGACCAAGGTTGAGGTCTTCCCTGTACCTGAAGAACAGAAGAAAGTAAGCAATAAAACATCCAGAGCCAGGTATGAATGAATCCACACACCTCTCATCGGCTTTACCTTCCCCCTCCTGCTGTCCTAACTGCACAGCAGGATTATTTGCAGGTAATGGGAATTTATTCACTGACTCAACTGAAAACAGCAGAAGCTGTGAAGCAAAGCAGCTTCAAAAACCTACAGTCTGCAGCCTAAATCTTTTGAAAAAATCCCATTTTATCACCCAATATTCTAGAAGTCTGAGCATACGTGAAGGTACTGGTTCTCTTGAAAGACAGCTAGGTAAATGAAATGCTAAAATTGTTCTTTTGAATGATTCATGAGCTCATTTCCTTCTAAGATCTCCCACTCCAGTTTGCTAAGATCTCCTTTACTCCAGTTTGCTGCAGGACAGCACTGTCCACACTTCATGGCCGAGTTCCTTCAGTCGCGGAGTGCCAATCACAACAGAAACCCGAGACAAGAAGGGCTCTGCACATTTCCTTCTTTGCTCCTTTTCCTATCCCCAACGATGACACAGCGTCAGGAAACTTTGCCATCTTGCTGTTCACACCTCCCAGATGACTTGTGCACGTTGGACAAAGCAGGTCCCAGCACAGATCTCTGTAGGACTCCGCTGGTTACCGCTCTCCGTGCGGAAAACGGACCATCTGCTCCTACTTTTGCCTCTTAGCTTTTAACCAACTATTCACCCATGAGGACCACGAGGATCTTTTACCATTTTGCCTGGTGCGGTGGGTTGACCCTGGCTGGAGGTCA